GTGCGTGAGATCTAGGCGTACGGGGAAGTTGAATCTAAAGTTTCCGAAGTCGCACATGGACAGGAAATATTTTCTTGAAATTTCGACATCCTGCCTGATCTGTTTTCGGAGTTCGGAGATTGTTGGCCAAAATACGCGCGTTCGCAGGTGAAATATGAGCGCATTTGGAATCTGAATCCAAACTTTTAGGCGTCGCACAGAGGCTCGTAACATCCTCTTCACATTTTAGGTTCTAGTTTTCCCGGTTTCAAAGTTACTGATTCTCCAGCCAAAATCTTGCGTGCCTGTGCGTGCAGCCTAGACATAAATGAGAGCTGAATTTGAAATCGTTGGGTTGCGCATAAATCCTCGTGAAATTTTTAGCTTCCTTGTAGTTTTTCTCAAGTTAATAATTTTTGCACCAGTGACTGTGTGTGAGACCTAAACTTACGTGAAGGCTGAATTTAGATTTGCGGGATCGTATATGGGCAGGAAGCATTCTCGTGAAATTTCAGTTTCCTAGATCAAGATTTCGGTTATGAACTGCAAATTTTTGAGAGCGCACATTGGCGGAACAAGCAACAACATTAGAAAAGTGGTTACACGCGTAGTAGTAGTCTTCTAACACATCTTCATGTACCAAAGAAATTTTGTAGTCCTGCATTCTTACGTCATGACATTAGCCTGGCTGTGGTCGAGTTTCAGAACAGAAGAATGTTTGATGTTTGCATCATGTCACTGTATACACTATAAAAAATTTTGTATTCATTCTTTAAATTTCTATCTTGGCAGCTCGGGACTGGATTAACAAGGTACATATATATGTTTAGGCATAATGCTATCAAAAAATTGCGGGAAATTGGATTTGAAATTAATGTTACTAAAAATTCGGCCGGAAAGACAAAATTCATTTTATAGCCCACAATTTTTAACTAACAAACTGAAATTACGGCAGTTACGTTAAAATCTGAGCAGGCCAATTCAAAAGTGTAAACGAGTAGGTCCAAAATATTTTTGATTTCAAAATTTTGATTCGTTTCAAATTTTTTTAAAATTAAGTGTATTAACTTGACTAAAGTTAACTGTGTTAACTAAAGTAATGTATTAAACGAAACTAAAATTGAATTTATCTAAAATTAAGGGCAGTCTTAAAGTGTAAACGAGTAGACCTAAAAATTCAAATAATTGTTTACGATATCAAAATTTTGATATCAAAATTTGATTTCAAAATAGATCCAAAATAAAAAATTTTGATTCAAAAAATCCAAAATAGTTTTCAAAAAGACTTGAGCTAATTTGGTGAAAATAGTGCTATTTTGGTGAAGAGCACCACGTAAAATACGTCAACGT